GTGTATGGTCATCGCAAACATGTCGAGTTCGGAAGTCAGTTATGCAAGGAGAAGGTACTAGCACTCCCTACATCCATCGTACTCGATGGGAACCATCTAAGTTATCTACGCATGAAATGTATTAGATATCTTATTGCTTACTAAGGGGAAAAGTGGATGATTACTTGAGCAAAAATGAAAGGTTTTATTATTGAGTTCGTCCGACTTTTCAACCCAGTGCCTACGTCTCCCAGAGGGAATCAGAACTCCGTAGTTCTTGTTGAAAATGTTTTGTTTTGTTTGTTGTGTGTTTTTTTATGGAGAGTGTTAGGTTGCATGTTCTTTTTGAAAAGGTTTTAAACGGAAAATCCAAGAGGCGAAAAGGCTTAAGATTTATTAAATTTTTTTTAGAGTTTGAAAAGAGGTTAGAGATAAGTTAAAGTATTTTTGGATTTTTTTTATTTAAAAAAAGAGATTTTTGTTTTAAGAAAAATACTCGATGTACAATCGAGGTTTGAATTTGCGTGATGGTGATTGCAAAAGGCAACCGACTCATGGGGAAGTAACCACTTGAGAAAAAGTTAAGTCGATTCCTAGTCCCTAAGGGTGTTCCTAATAAACGAAACTGCAACCAAAGAAAAAAGATAAATTGTTGGCATGAGGTTGATGGCGATGCTAAAAAGCAGTCGACTTACAAGTTGGGGTATGGCTTGATATATGAATCAAGAATGTGTTGAAAGCAATTTAGGCGTGAATCAAAATAAGATGTATACACAATATTATTATCGTACATTCATAACAAATGAATAAAAAATATAAAGTGAAAAGAAAAGTGCACGAATTAAAACCATGATGCAAATACGCGAACCAAGGTCGCGTATGCGAAGACGTGAAAAGACTATCACAAGAAATTGGATCCGATATAAAGATAAGGGTGTTGGATCATTGAAAAATAATACAAATTGAAATAGTGAATTGCTACCGCATTAGCGGTCCTCACAAGCCGAATCAGTAAGCAGCAACATAATAAAAAATCAAATTAAGACATAAAGTTGCAAATCGAAACACGAATTGGTCGGTGCACAACAAGCGGATTGCTACTAGGCCAAGCCATTGAACGCGTGCACAAAAATTGAAACACAACGATAATCAATTTAAGAGAGTAAAATAAAAAATCGTACATAAACCGATAAAATTACTCAATAGTTTGCTACACTTAACGTGATCATCGCAATATGGATCCAAATTGTGTGGATCTAAATATAACAAAAAGAAACCCAAAGAAAAAGAAATTTTAAATGTGATAAAAACCCAACAATGTTACTAACTCGAAAACGCGACCATCGCAACCGGATCAAACCGATACAAGTGTTACGCATCGTACGCTCCAATATGCAAAGAGCGTAATGAACGATTCGATCCAAAAAATATATTATTATTAACATATATATATATATATATATATATATATATATATATATATATATATATATATATATATATATATATATATATATATATATATATATATATATATATATATATATATATATATATATATATATATATATATATATATATATATATATATATATATATATATATAAAAGACGTGCACCTGTTATAAAAACTTGTTATATATATATATATATATATATATATATATATATATATATATATATATATATATATATATATATATATATATATATATATATATATATATATATATATATATATATATATATATATATATATATATATATATATATATATATATATATATATATATATATATATATATATATATATATATATATATATATATATATATATATATATATATATATATATATATATATATATATATATATATATATATATATATATATATATATATATATATATATATATATATATATATATATATATATAAAATGTTTATAAGAAGAATGATGATTGTTAGTTTTAAAAAACGTTAGTTTCGTTGTATTCCGATACTGGTGATTCCGTTGTATTTGATTAAACATTGGACATCTTTGATTTAGGAGACATCCTTCTATCCCTTAGGGTTGATAGTTAAACAACGTTTTTGTTTACAAAGATGACTTATCAGTTGTTGCCTAGATATATTTGTACTAAGATTATGAGTTAAATTTAACTACTTAGTTTTACCTAAGGTAGCTAATCATCCACAACATCTTTAGCCTGCCATATTTAGGGATTCTGATGATGATAATCATCAAAATAATTTGATTAAACATGAAGAACTTATGGAATATCCAAAAAACTTGGATAAACTTAATAAATGGACAATTCCATCAGTAACTTCATATCAAATTTATAAATTTGGTAAAATATATTTATTATCTCACTTTGCTGTAAAAAGCTTAGAACAAACTATTCAAATTTCTGAAAGTACTCAGACATTTAAACTCTTAACAAAAAAGGATTTACTTCCTTTTAAAAATTATAATTATATCCATGTTGGTTTAATACAAGTTGCTGTTAAACCTTTGACTCTGCTAGGATTAAATACTAGCATCCTGGGATATATTAGAGATGCTAGATGTAAATATTTTAAACAATCTTTAGCTGCTTTAATTGAGACAAGCCTGTGTCATGGACCAGATTATTTTGATGTCTCTCCCAATATAACCTTATCCGTGACTGATAAAAAATTATTAGATGCCCTTCAATTAACTATTCATACCCATGGTTACAATTTTAAACAGGGTAGTGAAAAAATGGCTATATGTTATAGGGTTTATTACAAAGTTCTTACCACTTTAAACCCTAAAGCTAAACAAATATCGTTTCCAGGAACTACTACTTTAGTTCAAACTAATTTGCTAACATCTAGTGTTGCAACTAATAGGTTGCTAAAATGGGATGAAATTAATTTTCCTGAAACCTGGAACCTTCCTCAGGCCATAGAACCTGAACCTATCCTTAATAAGGATGTTGATCAAATAATCCAGTCTAGTGAAGGAGATTTGGAAATAAACTTTAACTCTAAAAGAATTACTAGAATACCTAGATCTATGTATGGAAGACATTCGGTGAATTCTATAAATGAGTTTTACTCTGCTCCTAGTCAATTACCTAAATCTTCTACTTCTCAATTAAGAGAAGAAATAAAGGTAGTAAAAAATATAAGACTTAGCAAAAATAAAATTCCCCATGGAATATATCAAAAGCCAAATCCTCCTAGAGTAGAATCGCCTACTCCCTCATACATGGACTTCCCGTTATAATGTTAGATTATTCCCCAGGTAGTAATCTAAGAAACCTTGTCAATGACGAGTTTCAGCATGAAAGATACAGTGAATTTATTACTGATCCTCATATTAAAATGCTTAATGAAGTTAAAAGTATTCTCTTAAATAAAGAAAAACAATTAGGTTTTCTTAAAGAGGAAGTTAGTTTATTAAATATTAATGAACAACTTAATAAAAATGAGACAAGAGAACAAATCAAGTTGATTGAGAACCAATTCAAAAATGAAGTGTGCAATGATTTGCCAAATGCTTTTTGGGATAGAAAGAAACATATTATTTCTTTACCTTATCTTGATGACTTTAATGAAAGTCAGATTCTCACGAAAGCTAGGCCTGCTCAAATGAACAATGAGTATTTGGAGTTATGCAAAAAAGAGATAGAATCTCTTTTAGAGAAAAAATTGATAAGAAAATCCAAATCTCCTTGGAGTTGCACAACTTTTTATGTCAATAATGCTGCTAAAAAAGAACGTGGGTCCCTAGACTTGTTATTAATTACAAACCCCTTAATAAGGTGTTAAAATAGATTAGATATCCTATTCCTAATAAAAAAAGACCTTTTAGATAGATTAAACAATGCTTTAATCTTCTCTAAGTTTGATATGAAATATGGCTATTGGCAAATTCAGATTAATGAATCTGATAAGTATAAAACAATCTTTACTGTGCCTTTTGGACATTATGAATGGAATGTCCTTCCTTTTGGCCTTAAAAATGCCTCTTCCGAATTTCAAAATATTATGAATGATATTTTTGATCCTTATACAGATTTTATAATTGTCTATATTGATGATGTCTTAGTTTTTTCTAAGACTATAGATCAACATGTTAAACATTTAAAAATATTTAAAGGATTAATAAAACATAATGGATTAGTCATATCTGTTCCTAAAATGAAACTTTTTCAAACAAAAGTTAGATTTTTAGGTCATGAAATTGACCAAGGAACAATAATTCCTATATAAAGAAGTATTGAATTTGCTTCAAAATTCTCCAATATTATTACAGATAAGAAACAATTACAAAGATTTCTTGGTAGTCTTAATTACATAGCAGATTATTATAAAAATCTTGCTAAAGATACTGCCATATTACATACTAGGCTTGGAAAAAATCCTGGCCCTTGGACTAATGAACATTCTCAGGCAGTCCAAAGAATTAAAAATAAGGTTAAATGTTTGCTTTGTTTATCTCTTGCTAACCATAAGTATTTTAAAATTGTTGAAACTGATGCTTCAGACTTAGGCTATGGAGGAATCCTTAAACATGTTATATCTGAAATATCAAAAGAAGTTCTAGTCAGATTTACTTCTGGAAAATGGAATCCTACCCAATCTAAATATTCTACTATCAAGAAAGAAATGCTTTCTATTATAAAATGTATTTCAAAATTTCAAGATGATCTTCTTAATAAGAAATTCTTATTAAAAATTGATTGCAGCTCAGCTAAATCAATTATTGAAAAAGATGTTAAAAATCTTGTTTCTAAGCAAATCTTTGCTAGATGGCAATCTCAATTATCTATGTTTGAATTTGGTATTCAACACATTAAAGGTAAAAATAATTCACTTGCTGACTACTTAACTCGTGAATTTTTGCAGGGAAAGAATGATGACCCTATATAAGGGGAGAGGCCGCGGTTATGGTCGTGGTGGAAGAGGGAGTAACAATATGTTACCCCAACCAGAATCAAACATTCCTCTAATAGAGGATTAGACTACAGTTTACAAAGGAAGAAAAATGCAGCAATTACCTGCATCTTCATCAAAAAATGAAGATATAGCTTCCTCCTCTTCTAATAAAAATACATCCTACAAGGAAGTTGCGGTTAGTAACCCATCTCAAGAACAAGTGGATTATTTTGAAAATCCAATAACTGAAAAAATCATGTATATTGATAAAGAAGATATTAAGATAAATCCAAATGATGGATGGTCTATCAAAACCAGATACCACGAATCAAGAGGATATCCAGGTCTTCATGGAAAATCTAGGCCTCACCTAGAGATTCTTTTGACTATTACCGAATCGGTAACAATTACTCACCACTACCAGAACAATAATCTTGAAAGTTTTATAAACTTCAGTAAATGCCATATTAATAAAATCTTGTTACCAAGAGAATGGGGTCTTAACCCAAACGGTGAAAATGCAATAAGGATTGTTGAAGGAAATTATATCTACTTTAATTACTGGGACTATGTCCAAACTTTTACTCAAACTTTTTATTACCAAAATCCTAAGAACAAGCATTCTTGGTTTTTCTCTATTAATCCAGAAATGATTAATAAACTCATACCAAATTGGTTTTACGAATGGTGGACTAAATTTGGTCCGTCTTTGGAAATATTACCCAAAGAATTACTTGATTTATACAATCCCTGGTGTGATAATAGTCCACTTATTATAAATATTTTATCTGATAATTTAATCACAGGACAATGTCCGTTTTGGTTCTTTACCAAATTTCAGATCCCATGGATATGGAGACAGTCTATCACCATATCTCAAGATAAATTCAACATACCCATTTTAGAAAGAAATTTCTTCTATAAATGGTGGAACAAGATGAGTTCTGAAGAAATCCATAATAAAATTATTCTGATTCAAGCAACTATAGCTGAAGACCAAAATAAAAAATTCAAAGAGCAAAGCTCCCAACAAATGTCTATGGGAAATTTAAAGAACTTCTTTCAAAAAAAATATCCAAATGAATCAGAAGAAATTATGGTTAGGACTCTGGATCATATGAAGAACCAATTCTTCTCCACTTTTCCAACTAAAACATCAAAAGATGAGAATTCATCTATGAAGACTAGCTCTTCTATGGGATCAATTGATTCCAACAACTTTGATTGTTTAGTAGGAGAAGCCCAAGCGAATGACCCCACTCCTGAAGATTTCTGGGATGCGATGATTCAATCCATGGCTCATAAAGCAAAAGACAAAGCAAAGAGATAAAGAATCCCAAGACAAAGAGAAACACTATGCCAAAAAAGACCTTTAGCAGCACTTTTTTTGGCCTTTAGTAGCGCTTAAAAGCGCTGCCTAAAGTGGCGCTGCTAAAGGTAAAGGCAGCGCTTTTTTTTTGCCTTTAGCAGCGCTTTTTTTTTCCTTTATCAGCACTTTTAGCAGCGCTTTTTTCACCCTATAGTAGCGCTTTTTTTTGGCCTTTATCAGCACTTTTAGCAGCGCTTTTTTCACCCTATAGCAGCGCTTTTATAAGTGCTGCCTAATCCCACTTCACCTTCCCCCTTTAGCAGCGCTTTTTAAAAGCGCTTTCTTAGACCCCCCCCCCCTTTAGCAGCGCTTTTTTAAAGCGCTGTCTTAGACCCCTCCTTTAACAACGCTTTTCTAAAGCGCTTTCTTAGACCCCCCCTTTTCCAACCTATAGCAGCGCTTTTTTAGGCCTCTTTTTGCCCCTTTAGCAGCGCTTTTTTTAAAAGCGCTGTCTATTCTTCACGATTTTGAAATTTTTTTTTATAAATAATCACATTTTTTATATATTTTTCAATAAACCTGCTTATAACAAATACATTCCCTGCTTATAATCCAGGCCTTTAGTTCAACAGTTTGCCCTTATATATAACAATTATTTTTGCCTTATTTTTGTGTATTCACCACTTTGCAATATTATACACAATAACTAAAGTATACATTATAATTCATCACTTTGCAATATTATACACATAAACCTGCTTAAATATATTACAACACAGTCCGATCCTCAGAACAACATCACATATACAATCAATTTACATATAATTACAAATCCGATAACTTTACAAATAGATACATTATAGAATTCTCAACTCAAGAATAAATTGACACCATTCCTCCTTAATTTCTTCCAATCTTGCTTTCGAGTAAGTACCGCACTTGAAATCATCAAAATACTACATAATATAACAGAACATGCACGATTTAATTTTAAAACTAATTACTCAGATAAAATATCAGTTAATTATCAAAATGAATCATATAACATATGAATTGATCCATACCATGAATTGATCCATACCTGTCAACCTCGGAGAAGCAATAGTAGTCGATTCGGAGGCCTTATCCAAGCTGCTTCCACAACCTAAATCCATGGAACAAATAATACTCATATACAGTTTCACATTTTGCATGAAAACTTAATCTTCAATTTAGAACTAGAAAATCTCACTATACAGTTTACAACAAAATATGATATACCATGTTGGAGTTGACTATATTGATCTTCGGACGCACCCGGGACTGGTAGAAGAGTTACATGAGCAACTTTTTTTCTTCTATATAGCACAAAATAGAGAATGAGTGCCAAAAGTAAAATCCCAAAAGCTCCTTCAACAACTATGCCAGCAATGACTCCTTTGGACATTCCTATATACAATAATGTCAGCATCACATAGCAATATTTATTTACCCTGCCATGATTTTTCATGTCACTCTTTTAACTTTATATATATATATATATATATATATATATATATATATATATATATATATATATATATATATATATATATATATATATATATATATATATATATATATATATATATATATATATATATATATATATATATATATATATATATATATATATATATATATATATATATATATATATATATATATATATATATATATATATATATATATATATATATTGATTAACATATTTATAAAACTGCAATGTGTACTGTACATCACCTGATCTGCAAAAATGAAGAAAAAACAAAGCATAGATGTTCAAGTTAGAAATTAAAAAATATATATATATATATATTGAAGAGAAAATGTTGGAATATTCAAATCAAATTTAGCATGTAGGATGTAAGGTTATGGAAATTTCAGCATACTTTAGCTGCAGTGGTGGAAAGTTTCCATATTCATCTGCAAAATATGATTGATAAAATAATCAGAAAAAACTATAAAAAAATAAGTGGCAATGCATAATCTAAGTATAATATAATCTGTATTGTTTTGTTTTAAAGCCAGATTAAACATTTTTCTTGATCAAAAGTATAAAAATAAGCATCTCTTCTAGCTTCTTTTTTTTATTAATTCTGTCATGTTGATATATTTCCAAATGCATGGGTGGAATATGCTGAATCTTTTTCATATTCCATTATTTTTCATTACAAAACTTCACTATCCAACAAGTGTATGAAATTGTGTCAAAAAGAATGTGAAAGAGACATAAATAGGTGGGTTTAGCTAGGCTCTTTCTTTTGAATCCTACTCCTTATGTCAACCAAATCAAAACTGAAATATTCACTGAAACAATGAACCACATAACAATTTTCCTTCGTTGTTTTTCAACTTTTGTAGCTAGCAGAAGAAATAAGGAGACTAACAACAACACTTTTTAACCAATATTTTTCGCACAATGAAATTAATCGATGCAAACATTAGCGGCAATAGCGAGTCGAACAAGCATGAGACCTTAATCAATCTATACCACAGATAGCAACACATCATAACTATTATATTTCCAATTCTACACTGCATATGTTATGTATTAAGAGAATGTGAGATAGTTATGGAATGTGAGATAGTTATGAAATGGTTATGGAGAATATTAAAAACAAAATATAATATCAGTTCAAATATTATATGAGAACAACCTAAAGCAACTAAAAGATTCAAACTCCAATAATGCATTCAACTATGAGAACAATAAAAATGGAAAATGAAAAACTTCAAATACCTTAAAATGGTGGAAATGCGCTGGTGGAGGACGGATATGACCGTCAAAAATGGACGGACGGCGGCAAAATGAGGTGACGGCGGAATGACCGGAGGAAAGACGACGGACGGAGGCTGTTGGACGGAGGCGCGGACGGAATGCGTCGACGGTGACTATTCTAATTCTGAATAGGGCAACGTTCACGAGTGGAAATAAAAAAGAAGAACATTGTTCTGATTCTGCGAAAATATTGGGATTTTTTTAAATTTATGCTACTTAAACCTATAGCAGCGCTTTTTTTGGCATTTAGCAGCGCTTTTAAAAGCGCTGCTATAGGTCTGCCTTAGGACCCCCTTTAGCAGCGCTTTTTTTTGGCATTTAGCAGCGCTTTTAAAAGCGCTGCTATAGGTCTGCCTTAGGACCCCCTTTAGCAGCGCTTTTTTTTTGGCATTTAGCAGCGCTTTTAAAAGCGTTGCTATAGGTCTGCCTTAGGACCCCCTTTAGCAGCGCTTTTTTTGGCATTTAGCAGCGCTTTTAAAAGCGCTGCTATAGGTCTGCCTTAGGACCCCATTTAGCAGCGCTTTTTTTGGCATTTAGCAGCGCTTTTAAAAGCGCTGCTATAGGTCTGCCTTAGGACCCCCTTTAGCAGCGCTTTTTTAAAAGCGCTTTCGTAGACCCCCCCTTTAGCAGCGCTTTTTTAACAAGCGCTGTCTTAGGTATGCTATTTTTTTTGTTTTTTTTTCATGACCCTTTAGAAGCGCTTTTTTAGAAAGCGCTGTCTTTTGTTGCGCTGCTAAAAGTCATTTCTGGCGTAGTGAAAAGACAAGAGAGAATCTTATCTTGTCTAGGAACAATGCAATAATTTCCTAAAGGCAAATGCATGCAAAGATAAGAAAGAATCTTATTTTAAAAGTTAGAAAATAAAAAGATAAGAATCTTATCTTGGAAAAAGAGTGAATCCTGCTTTTACTTTATTATGTAAGAAAGTTTTGTTGTTTGAGAATTATTTTTGTGCCGATGGGGCCCAATGTGTACCCGACATTAATAATTCATATTTGTTTGTTGTAGCCGGCTATCATAGGTAGCATTTACCGGCTTAAATAGTAAGCTTTTGTATCCCTATATAAGGGGTTTTATTTTCTTTTGTAAGCACGCAATTTCAATAGAACAAAGTTTTATATAATTCCGATACTGGTTTCGCTGTATTTACTAAATTCCAATACTGGTGATTCTGCTGTATTTACTAAATTCCGATACTGGTGATTCCGCTGTATTTACTGGTAATTCTGTTGTCTTTACTGATATATATATATAAACTAAAACATATATAATATATAACAAAAAGTTCATAACAAAACCTAAGAAAAACCAATATCATGATGTACCGTAATGGAAGAAGAATAAAAAGTAAGCGGCGATGCTGCTGAAATTTTTTCGGTCTCCCTTCATCACCAACACCCATACACATACATATATATAGTATAAATTAAGGTTAACTCTAAATTGTCAATAATGTCCCTAATACTTATTTTAAAGTCCAAATTAAATAATATTAAATCCAAAATAAAATACTAATTATCCTATTTATTTATACTAAACATTTATACAAAAAATGTAAAAATAAACAGACCCCAAATAAATAAAAGTCGGACACGAAAGTATTCAAAAAAATAAACCGAGCACACCAAAGTGATCAGCGCAAAATAAATGACTCAGAAAAATACAATGTTTGGTCATACTTAAAAATAAATTTTGACCCGTTAAAATGTTCAAACTGATCAAATTGCGACGATAAATGGTCAAAAAATTAAAACGAACACGTCAGGTTAAACTACGCGAAACGTAGATTAATATAATTGACGTCTGCAAGCTTTATTTTGAAATTTTTCGCCAACTGACTTTACTCATTGTTGAAATTCAGTTTGACCGATCTGTTTGTAAATCCGAGAAATTATTCAGAGTGACATTTTAGGCACTATGGGAGATAAAATGCATGCTATGCTACGCAAAGAAAAAATAAAGTCGGATAAATGAAAATTTTAAAATGCCTGGACAAAATTGGCGTATGACAGTTGTCCCTATTTAATTAACTTGAACCAGAAGGTATGAATGATAGCGGTATTCATACATTCGTGGTGGAAGATAATTAAATACTAAAAGACCCTGAATTTTATCTAAGAAGGAAAGTGTGATGTGTTTTAAAAGAGACCAGATCAATGTCGACCCTCGAGTGGACACTAAAGAACTTACAATGACAGAAGTTAACGACACCAAAAGGATG